TCATTTGGCTAATTTTTCGATTTTATAGGAATTTATTACGAAAGACTATTTTTCTAAAATTTGAGGCAATCAATTTCAGAAATTGATGACCATGTTGGTTGGTTGTGGATTAAATGGAGGGAATGACCCATTGATCTGTATACCTCGACCTTAATAATGAAAAATGAAGTGGAATTTGCTATTAATTATGATGATGGGTATTGGTGGTGGGTTATAATGTTGTTGAATGTTGATGAAGCCATAAGGAGGTTGATTGTAATTAAGACACAAATGTTGATGTTTTTGGAGCTTATGGCCAAGGGTATGAATGTGATTTTGGGAGATGGTTTATTGTTGTTTTGCTTGTGTTGTCAAGCTTGGTATTGATCATGTGTATATATGATCATATAGGTTAAAACTCTTGGACTCTTCAATAGTAGCTTGAGCTTTTGTATTACTTTTGGAGAGCTTGCAAGGAGGAGTTTTACATTGAGGTAAACCCTTTGTCCTGGGTTTAATCCTCGTGTGTGCTCCACCATGCCCATTGGGGTAGTGGTTGGAATTTATGGATCGTAACGGTATGTGCTATAATATGATCATGCATTTTGACATGTTATTTGGTATATATTTTGATATACTTGTATCTCTGGCTAGTAGATAAATTTGAGGGAACTTCTACTAGATAAGCCTCCGTAGGAGTTTCAGATGGTATGATGCCATAGAGTGGTGTTCGTTTTGAGAGCGGAACTAGGAATGTCTCGGTAGTTATACGATGGGTGCCTTGAATTATATCCCGGGAATATATTCTTGGATGTGGACCCAGTTCTAATTGATTGATGTATGATCTATTATATGTGTATTATTAATGTTTTACATTTGAGTGAGCCATTGGGTGGAGTAATCCTCTAGAACCATTAGTTTACTGAGATTGTCAAATTTCACCCCGCGTTATGGGGATTACTTTTCAAGTACCACTAATGTGGTTGAAGAGGCTTTGGGAAAGAGGCTCACCTAGGATTTCATTGGTGGACATGGAGATTGCCTTGCATTTTGGGATTTAGAAGTCTTTTGATTAATTGTCTATTATGTATTCTTGACTTTGTACATGAACATTGGTCTTGCATGTGAGGTATTGCCATGCTTAGGGTTGTTCATGCTTTTATATCTAAGTCATGTAGTCATCATTTTGGAAAGCCGGAATGCGGATTTGGATTTGTACTTTGTTTAAATTTTGGAGACTTTGGTCCCCATTTTGGGTTTGTAAAGACATTGTCGGGTTTCTGGTTTTTACATTTGTTAATTGTGCTAATTGTGTTTAACTTTTTGATTTGCAATAGGATTCGATTCCTATATCGATCATTGTGTATTCATTCTTTTTTGTTGCTTCCAGCTTAGATTGCTGAAATCATGATAGGAACAGTGACCATAATGCCACTGTTTAAGAAAAAATATACCCAACTGTCACGCAAAAAGTAAAATTTCCCAAAGTCCCACTCATACAAGTTTGCTTTATCTGGTAGCGAACTTAGTTTGCAGATGTGGCACTTTTCTAGCGGTAGTTTGTTACTGCCAGTAACGAACTAGGTGATTCAAATATCAACCTACTATGAGCAAAAAGAACACGTGGCAATATCATACAAGTTCACTAGACATGCTAGCGAACTACATTACATTATCTCAGATGTACTATTCTTGTACGAAATTTGATATTGGCATTATGAATAAGTCCTTTTTTGCTTGCACAGAAGATATTGAGTGCACTGTTGTGAACAACAAGATTTTACAAAAAAATTTAAATTTTACTTCTTCTCCCGCTGCCCAAATCTTAATTTTGGAAAAAGCTCATTTAAAAAGTTGCTTTTAAAATAAATATATGTGTGTATTTTTCTTTAAAATTTCAATAGATTAAAATTAATGTGCACTTTCAAATAAAATCAATACGCACTTTTAAATTAATATATTCTTACTTTGCATATTTTAGATACAAGTTAATTTTAGAGGAGTCTTTTCCTTCTACTTTTTCCTTGCAGACAACTAATTTTAAATCTACTTCTTAAGCTTATGGTAAACAAGCAAAAATCCTAATGTGCATTTTACATGACGTTCATGTTGTTCTTTCTTCGAATTTAATTTATTTTCATTAAATAAATAATTTAATTTTTGATATAGTGTTAGTGTGAAAAACTTTTACACCATCTTTATAATTATGTTAGACTAGGAATAGTACAAGAATAGTACACAGTAGACAGCGCACACAATAGAAGTTAGACTAGGAATAATACTTTACTTGCGCAGCACAGTGCACACAACTAACACTACAATGTAGTTCGCTAGCTTGTCCAGCGAACTTGTATAAGACTGCCACATGTCCTTTTACTCAGAGCCGACTGATATTTTAATCACCTAGTTCGCTACCTGATGTAGCGAACTTATACGCGTGACACTTTTTACTATTCGCGTGGCAGTTGGGTATATTTTCTTGTAAACAATGACATTATGGTCACTGTTCCATCATTATAAAGGTTTGTCTTTTGACCGAGACCCACAGTTCCCCCTTTTATGGGATTTGACTTTATTGACTTTTTGGTCATGCCGTATTATTATATTTGGCTTTTTGCCCGCGATAATTATTTTATTCCAACAATGTGGTATGTGGATCTGATTTTCATGTGCTGAGGTCCTCCACTGTCTTTAAATATAAGTATAAATGATAAATTAATGATAAATTCATTCTTCACTGATAAGGATAAAGATTTTACATAAGGAGTTGCGTCACAGTGAAGGATTTATAGTTATATCCCACTTATATGCCTAAGAAAATTAAAAGACAAGGATTGGGCTTTCAATGTATTTACAGGCCCGTCTTATTTGCTAAGAAAGTAAATCCTGATTACTAGATCACTGCCAGCCTGAAGCTAACCGATGACAAACTGTTGATGTGGCTGAGGTTGAGTGTTGCTTGTTGTACCACGAGTGTTAGTCATCGCAGAATGGGAATTGAAATTTAACATTTTCCACAACGCCAATTTCGATCTGAGTGGACCGTGAATGTTCACTGTATAGGTTATGGATCTATACGCTCAAAGATATTTATAAGAGTGAGATATCGTACGGGCATATAGCCAATGTACTAATCACTGCGCACTAAGAACAAGCGTATAGTCAAGATGTGGATGTGTGAGCACAGTGATGACAGTAAAATAAATGAGTCAAAAGTGAGTACCTGGGGTCTTTAGCCTGTACTTATAAAGTTTACCTTGTTCGGTTTGGGCTTTAGATACCTTTCAAGTTGTTAGCCATTTAGCATCAATGTTTAGATAGAAATCTCATTCCTTGATATATTATTAGGATAAGTCTCAATCTTCTGTTGGATGGGTTGTTGGGATAACAATTTGAATCAACAATTATTGAACCCACTCCTTCCACCGATAAATACCTCTATAGCTCTCTCATTCCCTCACACTACCGATCTCCCTTACCTTTTTATTTCAAATATTCTCATACTCTTCTCAATTCTCTTCTATATAATGACTCACGTTTTTGCAATTATATATAATTATAATGGCAGAATATATGAAAATGATGCAGGATAAGTATTTGAGGGTCAAACCAAAGAGTATGATATAATGCAGGACCGTACGTTTAAAGTAAAAGTTTGCTGAGTTATTGAAGCTCAGAGATAATCTGTTGACCTATTGGTTTTGAAAATTACAAAAATTTGTTGTGTTCAAAATTATTGACGATCATGATAATGTTGACATGATAATCAATGTGTTTCAACAACAATATACAATGATAATGATATAATGTTAATATTATATATATATAATGATAATTATAGAAATAAAAAATAATAATGATTTTGACTGCGATAATCCTTAAAAATATTATAACTTTGTAAACCTATTTTTTAATTAAAAATACTTATTTCATTGTAAAAGCCCAAACAAACAAGTTCTTAAAATAAATAAATTGTAAAAATAATTTAAAAAATAGATTTTGGTTATATATATATAGTTCGAAAAGAATAAATGATTGCAAATTTGAAGTGAAACTTAATTATGCCATTGATTCAATACAGATAAAAAGATTTAAATTTATTAATTAACTGTAAGGTTGGTAAACATCTTTTTCTTTGATAGCCGACCAACCAATGGATATGCTGGATCCGGAGGTTTGATAGAAATGAGAGTGTTTTCTTTTTCTTTCTTTTTCTTTTTTCCTACTGAAACCAATGAGAAAATTGAATAGGTTTGTCTAATTTGCATTTCGAATCTTCAATTCCAATAAACTAAATTAGACAAAAAAGGAACTAGCATGAACTTTCTTGAAATAGAGAAACAAAAGCATGCAGCACAGTTGATAAGAAAACGAGTATTTTAATAATTCCATTACTTTTATTTTATTTTTTATTTTTCTTATGATTGCTTTCAATATCATTTTCTTGCTTGCATTTCGAATTGATATATACTCTAACCTTCACTGACTTTGCATCTTTGTCATGATTATTTTCTCTTGTTCCTAGTTGGCATCGAACATGGCTACGTGGCTGTCCCACCTCCATTTTCATCTTTATTGCTGACATCAAGCAGTTGCCGACACCATCTTGGATCCTAATGGAAGATGGTGTGTTATATATGCTTTCGTTCGCAACACTACTGTCCTCTTGTGCATTTGAATGTTGCTTCTTTTATTTGGATTTCATTTATGTAATTTTAAATGCACAGTTTTTAGGAAGCATTAATATTGAGATGATAAGTCACTGGTTCCCCATTCATGCACATATGGTTGCATGTTTCTGTCACTGACCACTGTCACTGACCATTAATTATTCATCCATGTAGGGAATCACGAAAATTATTATCGAGGTTCAATACAACTCCTCCACACACACACACGTGTGTGTACATATTTGATTGGTTAAAGCAGTTTATTTCATTGTTAAATCATTATTGAACCGGATAATATTCAAACTAAACATATAATTAGTTCATGGTCTAATTAATTTAATCAACAAGTCTAATATAATTTTCAAAGCATTAATATACACAATTTTTCTATAATCAATATATATGAGCAAACCGAGGTACAATATCCCAACTTTCCAATCATTACATTCTCTATTAATTAAAGTATTTTAAAATGAGAGTACGAAATCATTGTTCCTTTAATTTGTAAAGATTCATCATCCATGGACTTTCTTAACCTGCAGCAGAGAAGACCAACAATAAGATCATAATAAAGGAGAGGGAAAAACAGAAAAGAAAATTTGGTAGAATTATTTGAGTAATTACTTGAAAACCCAATTCAATATGGTATTGTTGTTGTTAGCACTTTTGTTATGGACAGGAGTGTAATTAGGCTAAGTTAAGTTACGTTTTGACTTAAAAATGTTAGGTTTGTATAAAAAAATATTAGATCTGGTCTGTCCTGACCTATTAGCATGTGTGGACCTTAAATTACAGGTCTGGTTTGACCTATATTTAAAAAATAAAAGTTTTTGCCTAGGTCTGTTAACCTGTTTAAGCCTATTAAACGTTTAACAATGAAAAGAATAACTAAAATAATATTATTTTATTATTCAAAGTTATTAAAACTATTATTTTATTTTAAATAAATAATATGATATAGGCCGTTTGTAAGCTTATAGATCCGACATGTACAAAAAAGTCTATGGTCTATTTTCTAAACAATTTTCTTTTAAAAATTAGATCTTTTCTATTTTACTATTTGTAATAGCTCAAGTCTGATTTAATATAGATTTAGGTCGTAGGCTCTGTAGCACGACCTAACTTATTTATACCTACTCATGGAGATGGGATAAGCGTATGGGACTTTTTCCAAAGACAATTTGTAGCCACTCCTTAGATATCAATTACTCTCATATAAATAATAAATTTATAAACACCGAGCTTGTACGCCAATTATATGATCCAGTAATAACCACATCTCTGGCTACTAATTACCCAAAAATAAATTGGATATCACATTTTCTATTCCTTAGTCCCTTAAACAACAAAATAAGAAAAATATGAGTTGATTTAGTTATTAAAAATCATACAAATTGATCTAAATAAAATAAACTTGTTAAAAATTTGACTATTTTAGTAAAGTGAATTTATCTGTAGATTAAAAATTTGGAAGATCAAATTATATAATTAAAAACTTTCGAATAAAAACAGAAGAAGAAAAAGAAGAAGAGTAAATATTTATAGACCAAAATGAATATTTATTCTAAAATTACGTGTAATTATCAATACTCAACAGTAAAGAGAGAAATTCAGTGATTTTCAATTAGGAGAATAAAAGACTTACCTTATTTTCTGATTGAGCACTACTCGTTGAGGCCAAAGCATTGGGTGCTGTGACTGAACTTTTTTGAGGTGTTGAATGAAGCTTACCACGGGAATGATGAGGAGGAGGAACCGCAGAGTGAGTCTCAGGACCTCTATAATCAATCTCATATATCTCTGAATGCAATGCTTCCGATTCCCCTGCAACAATCACAATTAAATATCATCAGCAGCAAACACCTTTCCCATGACTTCTTAATTATTATCATATAGAGAGAGAGAGATAGCGTGTGTCTTTGTGTTTGTAAAAGATGCAAACCTCTTGAGTAAAAAGGGAAAGCGAGGATGAGAAAGAGGAAGAAGCTGGCGGTGAAGGTAGACCTAAGCTCCATATACGGCATGCTCAAATTTCTTGAGGTATTACAAGTAAGAAGAATAGGTTAAAGCTTAATGGTCATTTATAAGGAGGAAAAAACCGAAAAAGAAGGGGAAAGGTTTTAGTGAATTATTAGAAAATGTAGGGACTGTGTGGGTTCGCGAAAGACCACACAGCTAAGGTTCAGTGAGCCAACTTTTGGTCTCTGATCTGTTTATCTTTATTTCTTTAGCATTAATTTATGGCAATATAATCGTCGCCATCCACACAGCAATAAGTTGCGAGATGGCGGTGTAGATGTGTTGGTTTGGGATATTAATGCTTCCATCATATACCCATATTTTACTTTTTTATGCCTTTATATATAGTGACGGATTCAAAAAATTAAAAAATGGTGGACACTTAATAAGTTTAGGTATGTATAGATTTAGGTTTGGTCTAGAACGCGACTTGCGAGCAGCTGTCGGCTGGCTGGGTCTGGTTTAGATCTAGATCTGAACGGATTGCGACTCAACTGGATCGATGATAGAGGAAGAAGCAAATGGTCCAACTTCCAATAACGGAGATTGAGGTTTGAGAGAAGATGAATCAGTATATACATGCAAATGATGCGTCTGGAATAGAGTTATCTGCTCTGCTGTTAGGTTTGAATAATGAAGGTGTAGGAGAAAAAAAATTCATGAAAAAATAAAATAGAAGGAGAAAAATTAAAAGGGTAAGATATTATAACAACAACTAGTTATTACCAATCAATTTCACTGTTAGATCGATTATGTTGATCCAACGGTTATATTCATTTCCATCTTTATATGGTTATGATCCCCATATTTAATGTTTTCCCATATTTAATGTAAAAACATTAAATATGAGAAATCATAACCATATAAAGGTGAAAATAAATATAAAGTATTTAAATATGGAAAATCATAATCATAAAAAAGATGAAAATAAATATAACTTTTGGATCAACATAATCGATCTAACGGTGAACTTTTGGTAGTAACATTGGTAGTAACCTTAATTGATTGTTATAATATCCTACCCCAAAATTAAATTGGAAAAACTTAAATTTTAAGATAAGGGTATTTTTATAATTTTACATCATATTTTAAGGGTGGGCTCTTGCCCCCCTTCTCATGTACCTGGATCCGCCTCTGTTTATATATATATATATATATATATATATATATATAGAGAGAGAGAGAGAGAGAGAGGAGGGGGTTTATCAAAACAAGTTATAACAAGTGGGTCGATCTGCGACATGGAGCGAAAATTAATGTTTGGATTAACTCGTAAAAAAATTCGTGTCGTGAGTCGTGCTGAGAAAAATGACCCGCAAAAAATTCGTGTCGTGTTAACATGAATTCGACCCATATTTTAAAAAAAAAAATTAAAATTTTGACCCATTTTTTATTTATTTTTTTCAATTATCATTTTGACCCATAATTTGCATATCTTTGGTGTCGTGTCGATATGTTTTGACACTCCTAGAGGGGTGTAGGTTACTCCTACAATATTTCTTTCTTTATAATCTCTTACAACTATTTTTGTTACATTTGGATAAAAATCAAATTAATAGCTCTCATTTGATATTAAAGTTTGAAATTTGACACCAAATCTTAACCGTTGATTTCTGTCAATCAACGATTATCATTTATTGGGAATCAAACATATTAATTAATTATTAATTCTCAATAAATGATAATCATTGATTGGCGAAAATCAACTGTTAGGATTTGGTGTCAAATTTTAAAGTTTGACACCGGTGTCAAAGAATTTTATCCCTATATATATATATATATATATATATATATATATATATATATATATATATATATGGAAAATATTTCTACAGCCACTTTAGATAAGGTTGTGTACAGCTACCCCTTTTTAACTAAGCATGACCCGTCATACATTAAAATTGTATTTTCTTTCTCCGCCACGTCAGCCGACAGTGTCTGAGGAAAGAGGAAAAAAGAACAGCTTTATAGTTATAACTAAGTATGACTGGTCATACTTAATTAAAAAGATGTAGCTCTAGATAATCTTATATAAAGTGGCTGTAGAAATATTTTTTCATATATATATAGGCTTTAATGTTTCTACAATTCATGTAGATAAATTATCTATATTTGCTTCCAAAATGAGATCTTTTTAAGTTAACAAATTAAAAAATTGTAATAAAAAAGGCTATTATAACCCTGAAATAAATTATAATTACAAAAATACCTTGATTTTTGTATTAAAATGATATCATTTTGGGCTCAATATAGATAAGTTATCTGCATTGACGGTAGAAAAAGTGAACACACACATATATATATATATATATGAGGTAGGATCATTTGACACCGGTGTCAAATTTGAAGTTTGACACCTCATCTGAGAGCCGTTAGATCAAGAAAGATCAACGACTCTGATTTGTAAGCATGTAATATCATTGATCTTTTCTGATCTAATGGCTCTCATATAAGGTGTCAAACTTCAAATTTGACACTGGAGTCAAAGAATCCTACCTATATATATATATATATATATATATATATATATATATATATATATATATAGGGAAATAGGTAGGATCTTTTGATACCAGTGTCAAATTTGAAGTTTGACACCTCATCTGATAACCGTTAGATCAAAAAATATCAATGGTGTCACATGGTTACAAATCAGAGTCGTTGATCTTTTTTGATCTAACGGCTCTCAGATGAGGTGTCAAACTTCAAATTTGACACTGGTGTCAAAGGATCCTACCTCATATATATATATATATATATATATGGGATAGGTTATTGTGCCTACTCCTATTTTACCTACTTTTGCCTACCCTTTTCGTTACCGTGCGATTACCATCTCATCCAACGATCCATATTTGTGATATAAAATAAACCCTTTTTTTCCTTTTTTTTTCTTCTCACTTTCTTCCATACCTTTTCTCTCTCCTCCCTTTTCTCTCTTCCTCTGCCATATACCTAATTTTTTTCCCTTCTGCCGTCGTGGACCTCAATCTCTTGACAAACTGTTCGATTCTAATGATATTTTTAATCCTTATAAATTAATACGATTGAATCGATGACTAACAAAGAAGTTTTGATGTGATTCAAAGCGGTGGTGCCACAAGGTCGATCTGTTCACAGAACCTCCTTGTCTCTGCTTCAATATGTCGATCTGTTCTTCCACATGATAGATACTCTTAATTTCTAATAATTAATTGGCTATCCATATCAACATAATTGCTGGAATGGCACCAATTAACCCTCTTTCCAGATTTTTCCAATATCAATTTTTTTTATTCTTTAATTTTTTTATTTATTTTGAATCTTTTCCAACTCTGCACAGATCTTTTGAATCACATTAAAACTTCTTTGTTAGTCATCGATTCAATCTTGTTAATTTATAAAATTTATGTTGTTCTTCAGATCTAAAAACTTGTTGTGATTTTTCAATCCATTGACACTGATAGTTTGATAGAAACTGATTCAGAAGGAGAAAATTTACATTACAATAATAAAAACAGAGACTAATGTATATTGACGATGATTTCAAATGCTGTGGTAATTGATTTCAAATGCTTCTGCGCCGTTCACCTGGGCAGAGATTAACGATAAAGGAAAAAAATAGGTATATGGCAGAGGAAGAGAGAAAGGGGAGGAGAAAGAAAGGGTATGAGAGAAAGTGAGAAGAAAGAAAGGGAAAAAAAAAGGTTTATTTTATATCACAAATATGGATCGTTGGATGAGATGGTAATCGAACGGTAACGAAAGGGGTAGGCAAAAGTAGGTAAAATAGGAGTAGGCACAATAACCTATCCCTATATATATATATATAGGTTATTTCTTTTGACGTGCTTATGAAATTCAGAGAACTGCGCGAGAGGGAATAGCTTTGGAATAGAAACATTAACTTTTTATTGGGTAAGCTTTTAATAAGATTGGTTAATTTGTGTTGGGGCTGTGCATGGGCTCATCACGGGGAGAGAACACCAATAATGAGTTAAGTGAGCAGTGATATTAAGTGAGTTTGAAATATCACAATCAAGTTAGAGAATAATACAAATCATTAAAAAAAGGAACCTAACACTTTAAACTTTTGGATCGAATTGTTTCTTTACATGATATCAGAGCTTCAGTTACCACAAGGTTACGAGTTCGATCATCACTGCCCCCCTCCCCCCTCTTACTAGTGGATTAAATTGGCTTTTTGCATGATATCAGAGCTTCATTGACCACAAGGTTACGAGTTCAATCATCATTGTCCCCTCTTATTAGTGGAATTAAATAAGAATAAGGTAAATCAAAAAAAAGAATGAGTATGTGTAATATCTACGCTTCAAGCCCAATGAACTCTTGCGTGAGGACGTGTGTTAAAGAATAATATAAACATTAAAAAAAGCGTCGTCACCTAACAACTTAAGCTTTGGGTTGAAATGATTCTTTGCGACATTTAGTGGGCTTAGAACATCATAATCAAATTCAAAATCTTAAGACATTATGTGCATAGATCATTTTGCATATATATGATACTTACTTAGTTCATTTTTAACCAACATGATACTTTTTACTCAATCATTCTCACTTTCAATCTGCCGGGGCTTTGTCTTCAAATTAGTTAAGGGAAATGGATGAAGTATGGTTGGGACAACTCCATGTGTGTATAATTGTAATCTGTCATGAAGAGAGACAAGGTGTGTTGTGTTTGTATGTGTTACGGACAGTCACACTTCATGTATTAAGACTAAACACTGAAAACCAAGTAATGTATTAAGACGTTGTCTCTTCACCAAACGTGTGATTGCCCGTTTTTGTTCAAGAAGTTAACGTTACAGTAGAAATGTTCAATATGGCTTGTGTGATTTGGTTTCTTTCTCAAACTAGGCTTAAAAATATTTCGGTGCTGAATTTCATCTATATATATATATGCGTCTGTGTGCCTAATGTAACACAGCAAATTATCTATTGAAATCATTGGCTTTGAAGTATTAAAGCCATATGAATTCAGCAATGGCAATGTAAATGTATTAAGCGATATTAATATAACAATTATTAATATGATCATTATTTACTACCCGCGCGTGGTGGATTCACAATCCACTGCCTTGATCCACTTGGCTACATCCGCCCCTATACTTATCTGAAAATGTGAAAATTACCGAGACTTCCATTTCTACCGTTTCGTTTGCATTCGTTTTTCTTTTTCTAAGTTTTTACTCGTGTTCTAAGAAAAAAAAAAATAGTCTACTAAATACAGAATTTATGTATAAAAATGTATAA